TTCGAGAGACAGTGGAAGGATGCGCATCTGTGGAAGGATGCTCCGCTCCCCGAATCATGGCTGCCGGGTGGCAAAAGGGCACTATGCTCGCTGTGGGAAGAGTATAAAAACCTGCCTGTTGCTGGCCCGGCTGCTGGTTCTAAGAGGGCCAGGACTCCGGATGAATTCGAGCGTGAAACAGATATGACGCAGTGGGATGAGGACGAAATGGATGAGCTCGAAACATGGCTTTCGATGAAGGTTTTTGTTGACTTGGTACGAGTCATGTACTAAGCATGACACGCAGTAGAGTTGCTGCCTAGTGGCACGGTCCGTGCCACTAGGTATTAATATGTATGAGAGCTGTCAGCCAGAATTTAATAGAAGTAAGTTCAATCACAACAGTAATCTCAACAGTTTTTAAACTTGATGACGGCAACACTCTTCCAGCTTATTGGCTACGGCAGTCTAAACAGCCTGCAACAGATTGGTTGGGTTGAGTTGATCGCCACCCTGAACCCACAGGATAGCACAAATGGGTTTGGATATGGCCTCTATCCCTGCAATGTCCAGCGACTGTGAAAGAGTCTTTTCCCAGTGCAAACTTATGATTACGGGGCAGAGAAATCGTCTCAAACCGGACATTATCGAGGCTACGCAGTGCCTGCGGATGTGGCTTATCATGGAGAAATAGGCCTTGGGGTCTTGGAAAGGGAGGGGCAATTGGAAACGCCGCTTAAGTTGTATAATATATCTGAATAGCTTCTTTTTTCGGCTTTTTCCCCCTAATGACTAAGCAAGCCTACCCCAGCCTAAGGAAAATCACAAACTTGCCTAAGCCCGCCTGTACAAAATCTCAACCTTGCCTAAGCCTGCCTGGACAAGCTTTTTTTTGCATGAGCCTGCCTTAGCCTCGCCCGGAAGTAAGAGGTTGCCTGCCTTGACGGGACCCCAGGCTGAGGCGTGGCTGGGCGTTTGAATACACTGGTTTTGCTCGTGGCTAATAGGGTATTCCGTAATGTGTTTAATGCCTTTGGCTCTCAGATGTGGTCCAACAATGCGATAAATAGATGGCCACGCAAGGAGAAAACCGGCAGGTGTAGTGTGGTTAATAGGAATTGCAGGCTCCCCTGGAGGTACTGGATGGCCTGGCTCTTCCTCCAATCGATCTTCTGCCATAACAGATACGCCTGCGCTCTTTGCAAAGTCATCCAGGAGATCATGAGGCGAGCCGTCGTTGTAATACTGTGGTGTGGACTCATCCTCGCCATCAAAAGTGTAACGGTCCAAGCTGAGTATATTGACAACTAGCTAGGCGACTACTACGAGTATCTAACGCTAAAGGAGAAAGGAAAAGAGAACAAGAAAAGGAGAGCTCGAGGAGCTCTTGAGCTCCTGAGCTCGACACGTGGTTAATCTCGCTTTGCTGAGGTCGACACGTGGTTAATCTCGCTTATTGGTGGGTCCCGGCCGGGGGCCGGGCCGAAGGCGAGAGTGCAAGCCGAGCCATATCGGGCTCAGCCCGTTACAAAAAGAGCTTCGTGGCGGCGCATATGGCTCTTCGTCCGCAACACAATCCATCTTGATGCAATCATCATTTGGACGGCTCCCAACATTGGACTCCAGTCTGGCCACTGTGCCATCTAGTTGGGTCATTTTACTGTCCATGCACCTAACTGTCTCGATCAAACCAGTAAGAAGATGTTTCACAGTTTGAATAGCGTTCAGAATATCCGCTTGAGCTTTGTCAGTCCTATGGATTCAGGTTAATGTTTCCTCTTATCCAGTAGCCATTCTGCGTCGTGTGTCAGACGTACCCTTTCGGTACTGGATCGCGGTATACGCACTCCGTGCGTTTATCACGGCATGTTTTGCAGGGCTTGGTTTCGTCGCATTTGGCCTTGAGCTGCCGGCATTGATCACAAGCCTACAAGAGTGTCGAAAGTTAGTATTTATACTCACGCGCTGCTCCAGTTGTAACAAAGCTTCTAGTCGAAGCTTGGTAGGGACAAGTTACCAGTGATGCTCTCATGTTTTTCCTTTTTGCCGCCTCCGACGAGATGTATGCACCATACAAAGGGTCTGAGGCTGGAGGGTAATTGTCGTAAGATTCATACGAGGGTTTCTGTGCGGGCGTTGGTGTTGGTGGTGGACAATTGGTAGGGCAACCCGCCCCCAATGGAGGAGGCACAGGGGATCCATTTTGGTACCCCATGTATCGTTGGTGGCCGACTGGAGGATATATTACTGCCAACTGGAGAGGCTGTGGAGGATTAGAGGCTGTTATAGGGTGTGATATATGAGGTAGAGCGTCTGGCGCATATCCTTCAGCGGAGTTTGACCGCGTTGCGTCGTCGTCGCCCACGTCTCGCCTTAAAGGAGGGTTCTCTAGGGGGTGCTGAGGAAACGGAGAAGGATACGATGGTGATGGCGGTTTACTTGAGTAGTATTGAGGTTGTGGTCCAGGAGGATAAACCGGCTGACTAGAGTAGCCTTGCTCGAAAGCAAAATGTTGTATGGTCGGGTTGCCATCCGTAGAGATCATGATATTGACACTGCGCCAGACGAACTCGGCAATTATGGCCGAAAGAGCCACTGCCGTTTTCTCCAGGAAGGGAATCCGGAAGTCTGGGGGAGTGATAAAAAGCTTGGGTAACGAAGGTAGAAACTTTTAACGGTAAGAATAGGTTGGCTTGGGTGCAAAGTCTCGTGAGGATCTGCTCTCAGAACGACATCAACTTTTGTTCTAAGTGGGTACTAAAAAAAGCGCGCTGCAGACACATGAGGAATCCATGCAGTTAGGATGTGCTGCGAATGACGGAGGAATCCCTCAGAAGCTCCTGAGTGGACCGAAATTTGTATGATCTCTCCAATATTTATAGCGAGTCCGTATCTGTGCTCTCTCGAAGTACGGCTGCGAGACACCCCGTGTGTGGCTAGTTTATGATGCACAAGATGAGGAACGGACTGCTGAGCTTTCTCTTTACCTGGACTCTGACGAAATCAAGAGGTGCCGATCGAGAGCAATTCAACAGAGCAGAGAACTCCGGTTATGGGCTATCGATAGTTAGAGTAAGAGAACCGGATTTCTCTACGGTTCAAGAGAATTTGGGGATAAAAGTACCAAGACAAGAGTAACAGTGTTTCCTCCGAGAGCCGTGGAAATGCAGTTCAGTGCGGTGTTGTGATTGGAGTTCACCAGGTCTCGACAGAGTTGGGGATGCCGACGACCTTTGTACACCCCCCAACATTGAGGCACGTTGCGTCCTGTTGGAGGAAAAAGAAACCACCGCGGAGCATGGAAGTCCGTTGATTGTCCATAGTTCGGATACATGATCAGCCTCGACGGCGGAAAAGCTGAAGTGAAACTGTGGTCCTCGTGGCCGAGCAAAACGGAGTTGGGAAGCCATGTAGTGGGGAGGTGACAAGGAGATCGGAACCTATGTGGGTGGGACTTGTGGCAATGTGGAACAAGGATTGCACCTTACATACTACTCCGCTTGAGAGACGGAATTGCTCTGACGACCATGTTTTGTGTTTAACAAGCAGTGGGCTCCGAAGACACCAAACAACCCAACAGAGGTAACTTCGTCAATTTTAGCTGCAGTACATGAGATTAGGAAGGGAACATGCAGAATTGTGCATCAGGTGCCTCTTTTGAAGGCTGAGGTCAACCAACTTCGAGGGGCGAATGCAATACTAAGCGGCGCAGAGCCAGAAAAACGCATCTACGCCAAGGAGGCAGTATGCACCTCAAGATTAGGACCAGAATGATGCGGAAGAGCTTGTTTTTTGTACGATCTTTGCGAGAAAGTGGTTCGGGGTGGCTATAGAATTTCAATACTTAAAAATCCTTGCATATTAACATGAATTTTTGCTATTAATATGTGCCTTCTGCATTCACAGCATCTGTTTTTCTCTGTTGGGATAGACACACGGAAAGCTGACACCTACCAGGCCGGCCCTAGGTCCGTCATTGACAGGGAAGCAACCCAGTCCAATGCGCGGTGGAGTGCTATGTTTCGCTGTCCATGTTTAGCTGTCCATGTTTCGCCGTCCATGTTTCGCTGTCGACTTCGCTGTCGACTTTCGCTGTCAACTTTCGCTGCCAGCTTTCGCCCTCCACCATATCTCATCTTTAAAGTGCTCATGCAAAAGTGGTCGATTTAGTAGCGAATATACAGGCTGCGACTCAAGAACTTGGCTTTTGCACGCACATGTACCCACAATCCACAGAACAGCTTGCATCCGACGTGAACTTTTGATGTAGATATGTCTGGCTCGGCAAAACCTGCGTCAAGCCTCTACTAAATATAAAAGAGCACACTTCCACTTCTACAGCAGATAGAAAATTGAAATTCCAACCTTGACCTGGTTTCTATCCTTTGCATTATCATCGCCACCTCGAAACGTAGGCTACCATTCTATTTGGCCTTTAACTTGGCACTAACGTACAATGCTGCTGTTTTTCCAGGTGCTAACAAATCACACGATGCAACTGCGTTGGATGGTAAACGCATGGCCGAAATACGATATAGGTGCTCTCAGCTGGTAAAAGACGGATAGATAGAATTGAGGCCGCAAATATAGTCGTGTCTTAATATCCCTCATTATAAATCGACTACCAAGAATCGCGAGTTCTCTCGTTTCTTGGCACCCTTTCCCGAAGATTCCGCCACAAATTCCGCTTCAATAAAATTTCTCTAACTATTGAAACGCATCAATATTTATCGGGGCATTCAGATAACGGGGGAGGGCTTCTGGCCCAAAGTATGCCCAATGTGGGGCTGAGGACTTTTCGGCTTTGCAGAGGCTGTTAGGAGCTGTTGCGGCAGACAAGCTCTGCCATGCGACCGTCGTCGCGGACATCATTACCTTGATCTCCGATCTTGAAACGCCCCATATACTATATTATTATCGAGCAGAAAGGAAACGATCACTTCCTAGGGAATTGGGCCCCTCATTTACCGCTTTGCGCCGCACCGCGCCGCACCGGCTTTACGCGATCAAACGAACATCGACAAAGGGAGAAAGCCAGATGGTAAGTTTACTGCAATGTTCTACTGTTGTTTCAATTACATCTAAGCTAGTGCTACAGGGGTTCACAGCACTCCCTTTAAGGCCGGGAATCGATTGGAGTCTTGTCCCTCAAAATTCGGCAACAATCATCGAAGGACGTGGCCAATATGTCTATTGGAACGGAACTTATGTGACGGAAATAACGACTGACGAAACAGGAAATCCGGAATACAGGCGACTTGTTGATGAAAAGGACCATCCCATTTTGCAGGGCGAAGGTATGATACCGATAGGCGTGAGTCTATACGTTGCGCAGGGGAGAGTGCTAGAAAAGTAAGAAATTGTCAATTTAATTTCTCTTTTATCCCCAAGCCCTTCCTGAAACCCAACGAGAAACTGATAACGGCACCTGTGTTTGTCAGACCAAGCCCCATTGTTACGCAGACCGTTGTCGTGTGTCCAGCCCTTATTTCTTCTTTCCGCAGCGGGCTTTCGTTCATAGCACATTCTAGCTCCTCGGGAAATATTTCTCGAATAGCTTGGGGGTCCGCGTCATATAATACTGCTTTGTTGGGCTGCAAAACGATTCTTCCGGGACAGTGTATTTCCCGAAATTGCCCCTTCCATTCCACTTTGGCCTTGAACAGTTTTACGGCGAACTCTTGCACACCTTGTTCTTCTATATCCAAACTCATCATGCAGTCCGTGATTCCAGCCCAATTTGGAAATCGCATGATGACATACGCTTTCCAAATACATTCCCCGCCCTGGTCCACTTGAAGCTTTTTGATAAATTTTCCAACTGATTTGCTGAAGAAGTTCTCTACTCCCTTTATCGATGCGTATATCATCGCACCTTCTTGAGTATCTGCACTGGTCACACGTAGGTCATGATGCATGGATGACTGTCCTTGGAAGGTTTCCGCGAATTGCAAAGTCGGATCGCCCGTGATATGACTTCCTGCATTGTCTTCGAGAGCAGAGCCAGCATCCCGTATAGACTCTTCATCAATACGGATGGCGCTGGTTTCCCGGTTCGAATGCGACACCAACTCCACAAGTTGATCCGCAAGTATCTTCAGGGTTGGGTTGTTAAATGGAGGTAGGTTCGCCTGGGTTAGAAGCAGCTTCTTTAAGGCGCTTCTCTCCTTCTTGTTCATGCGATCAGTGATTCCAGTCTTACAACCCAAAGCACCGACGCAACACAGAAGCACAGGTCGCCCAGCTTTAGCATAGACATCCGCCACGAAATCTCGGTAATCGGAGACCTGAATATGCCGGCGCCTTTTATCCTTGTCATGCTGATGTAATAAGGATGGCGGTGTTGTGTGCTTTGGTTGAATAATATCCCCACACGCCTCTATGAAACTGTCTTTGGCCTTGTCCCCTAGTTGCCAAGGCCAGCTCACGTCTTTTGGGTTGACAAGAGAGACGATTTTCTTAGCATATTGTGTTGTCAAGTTCAATGCTTGGTTGTGTGTGTACCATGTGCGTTGTTTGCGCTTCTTTCGGTACTTCATTATGATGTCGAGAATGAGGTTGGACCGGGTGGACAGCGAAAAACGAGAGATGGACAGCGAAGACGGATCAATTTAAATGGCCAAGGGCCCTGCAATTGTGGCGGAGCTCTGAGGCTGACAACCAAGGAAACGTATTCGCCTCCTCAAGCGAAGTGCCGTACGTTCCTGATATGTCGAAGTCCGTCCCCTGTCCGGATGTTGTTCCATTGGCTGGAAATCATTCGGTTCTAATCTGACAAGGATGGCTCAGCTGCCTGCCGCTCTCGAAAGGAACATAGCGAATGGAAGTTCCTCTTCACGGAGTAAAGCTGAATCCGTGTCATTCAAAGATATGAGAAGAGTCTGCTTCACTTTTCACACACCTAGCGATATCGATAAAACTACGTCTACGCCATTGTTCCCTCTCTGGCACTTCTTCTTTCTACATTTCAATTCGTAACCATATGTTGTCTTCATGGCATCGCCGGTGGATCAGTCAATACAATCCAATGCAGATAGGAGCAGAGGCGATTGGAACAAACAAGTTATCACATCACAGAAATTTGCCCTCCAATGACACACCAAATATGGAGTAGCGCGAGCCCAAGCCGCCACTCCCTTGCACAGGCAACTTCGAGCACCAATACGGCCTGCCTTGCAGCCATCGCATCCTTAATTGTCTCATGAACGGCACGCCTCTGCGACAGAGCCAGATTGCTATGCGTTGGTGACTTGAGAAGCCGTTGGTATGTCGGCTTGATACCGTCACAAGATTTTAGTGTTAACAGCCTACTAGAACGCTAAAGATGAGCTACTCGATATTCGCGACCCGGCTATTGTTATGAGCGCACGAGTCAGGCCGCGCCTGAATGCGGACAACAAGAAGCTCAAGGTCCCACGATACCTCAAGATCGCGGATTACACCTCCCAGGCCGGGAAGCGGCGCCGACGATACAGACGATGACGATGCCGAAGCCGAGCCTGCACAACGGAGTCAAGTCAGGTATCCAGCCCGAGGCCGTGGTCTGAGCCGACAAGCCTAGTCAGAATACGGGCCGAGGAACCCGCCGAATGAATGCGAGCTTTCGCCGTGACCACTCTCAATTTGAGCTTGATGAGCTACAGTCACATGTGTCGCAATCGTCGTGAGGCAACAAGCGTCGACGAGTCCGTGGCTTGGCTGCAGGACGAAGCCGTGCGGAGGCGTCACAGGCCGAGAGGTCTCCGCCGGCAGACCAAGTCCAAGCGTCAAGGAGAGTCGTCAGCTGAGAGCTGTATTATCATACCAGGAATGCAGTCGGCTGCAACACCTTGTTTCTAGCCGGGTGTGGTGCTGTAAGAAAGTTCCTAGTTGTACGACCTGGACTACATTCTGAACGTCGTACAATGTTGACGAACAACCCCAAAGGTCACAATCTTCCAATGGACCATGCACGACCAAGCCCAAAGAAAGTGACTGCGAGTGGGCGTATGCCTACCGTGTAACACACTCGGGGTAGGTTTCCCAGACCACTCGGAAAGCATGTTCACGACAGCCTAACTGTGGCCTACCGAGTAGCGGGGATACCAGAACCCCCATTATTAAAAAATACCGACAGTCCGAAGATCCCAAGAAGTACATGGCTGTGCAATTGTACATGGTTGTGCAATATTCGATGAGTTCAGCGTGTTTATTCAAGCATACGTATGTAATCAAAGGCCGTGTTTGCAAAGTGAGACCTTGTAGACTCGCCATTGAAGTGGTAACACGATGTTGCGTGCATTATTGTCAGACTGGTACACCTACCTCACTTGCGTGAACGACACCTGAAGCTGTAATCGACTTTGTCATATTCACAGCTCCTGGTCTTGCCAAACATCATAAAAGTTGCACTATGGGGTAAGAAGGGATAATGCATGCGGTGAGACAGCTTGATGTGCGCCAGGGGTGCTTGGCGGGAGGTACAATTACTTCCCTGTTTGTCCCTTTAAGGGATTCAAAGTATCATTCAGGGTTGTCCCACGCTAATGACGCTAGCTGATGTACATCCTTGTGCTCTCGTCATTTTCTGCGTGCGTCATTCTAGCTCGCAGCCAACCGTACGTACACGACAAAATTGGTGTAAAAGTCGTTCAGGTAACTACTGGCAAAAGCTAAGCCCTGAGAGAGTTCCTGAACGGAACGCGCAGAGTCTCCTGAGCGCGGATGGTGCGAGACGGTCGTGTTTTTGGTCCAGTCACGGCACAGAATAAGTATACACTAACATTCATCAATAGTTATACATACCATGCAAGTTGATATGATAGTACCTCTGAGGACCCCGGACAGCCACGCGACGCGTGTGGCAGCTAGACGCGCCACCACTTCACGTATTATCCCATTGGCTCGTACCTCAGACTTGGCCCACAAGCTACCCGGAACTAAAATTCGGGACATGATCGATTTCATTATCGATCGATTGCTACCCTCGCTCGATCGATCGATAATCGAAATGGCGTCGATCAATCGAATCGATCACATCGACCAGTCGATCGATTTCCAAGCCTGATTTTTAGGCTGCGACAATTGGCCGTTGGTTGGTGGTGCGCTCTGGAAGCTAAATTTTGCTGCAACTCGCATTTCACTAAAAACGGTCCACGCCTCTACTACCACGCCCACTTACACAAAGATCTGGCCCGCACTCTGACCCTGACCTTGCCTCTGCCTTGGAAACCTGTCTGAAGAATTCTGAATGAAAAACCCTGACCCTTTTATCCCACTCCCTTACGAAATTGAAAAGTATTCAGTTTGATATACCTATCAGTAGTGCCTAGGCTAGGATGATGGCGAGCTAATGTATTCGTGCCAGCGTCTTAACCCTGCAATCCAGTATTTTGCCTCAGCGTGTGATGACAGACTTTGAAGCTTAGCTAATTCAATTCGGGAGCTCTGTTCCAAATCCTTTTGTCCTTGACGTTTCAAAACGTCACACAAGGAAAGATAAATAATGCATGTTGCATTGCCACTAGTCGGAGGAAACTTGTTCATTGCTTGAAGGGCTTCTGTCCACCACGCAAATGCATCAGTCAAGTTTGACTGAACATGGCATAGCTTAGCAGCAATTATGCAGAGTCGCAGCCGTGCCATCTTCGTCATGGTATCGCATTTCTTGAGGTCAGCATAATATACCTCTGCCCCCGCAACATTTTGTTGAGCAAAGAGACACTCCATAAGAGAAAGCTGGAGAATTACTTTGGTTGCTGGTGTATTGTCCTGTGATAATTGTGTTCTGAGTAGTGCTTCACTGTGAGCAAAATCTCCTAGTTCCTGGAGTGTATCGGCCAGCTCAGAAATCAAGTCTCCTATGTCTTCGTCGAAGTAGATCTCTTTATGGGCCTTAATTAAGTCTTGAGATAAACGCAGACTCTGAACAGCATCCTCAAATTTTCCCTGATAGCGCAGGATTTTCCCGCGGAGGATGTTTATGCGGAAAATAATGATATTCTCAAGAGTAGAGACTGGGTCTTGCATTGGACTCCATTTGTTCATGATGCTCAAAGCCAAGGAAAGTTCTTCGTTTTGGAAGTGATTCAATGCCTCTTGGATGATTGCAGACCCGGAAGCAGCGTGTGTTCGCCGATCGTTGTTTAAGTCTTGGTTCAATGTGACAGTTGTGGCTGGCTCTTTCGATAGCCGATCAAGCAAGACTTCTCTTTGTACAATGAGCAGTTCTAGATAGTCATTCGATGAGTGGCTTAGGATTTTTCGGGCCTCCGTTATCATTGTGCGTTTCCATTTCAAGCCAGAGAATCGAGATGCTTCGGCAAGAGCTGAGACCAACCCGGTCATGTAATCAAGTGGCACAGACTCATAGCCATCGCAATCTCTGACAGCGTTCAGGGTGTGAATGATATGAGGCTTGATGGTCTCTCTTATTTGAAGGTTCCTATTGAAGATCAGTGACATGAAAATAATTATAGCTCAAAACAGACTCACGGCGAATGTAGATACTTCCAGGGAATAGCTGCACAAGCCACATACAGGGCCTGTTGCCGCCAAAAAGAATGAAGCTCAAGCGGCAATGTATTCAAGATCATCGTTCTTGTATTGGCATTGACTGAATATCTTGCATCTGCTGTTGACGAGATCAGAGATAACTCCACAAGTCTATCAAACGCAGCTTTGATTGTGGCGTTGGTTGATAATGTATGGCCGAGAACCCATTCGGACGAAGAACTCTCAACCCCGCCATCTGTGGCCCACCCCCTTCGGGGCATGGCTGCCTGGAAAAACATGTCCACAGAGACTTGTGAGTCAGAGAGAAAGCTGAGTAGTATCAACAAAAGCTTGTTTTCTGTGCCGATCGGGGTAGCTTTTAGGACCGCTGCATCCGAGGCTGCCAGCGACTCAGCATTGGGCAATGTCGAAGCTTGACGCGCTTGTCCAAATAAGATCGGTGGCAAAAACACATGTCTTGTCAGCTGGAGGCCTATTGTTGGACGCGCAGAATGAGACCCAGGACCAAGCTGAGCAGACGGGCGCTGATCTATTAAGTGTAAGTTTAGTAGAGAGTGAGGCCATAAGGGTGCGCACCTAGGATTCGTTTAACCGTACTGTCCACTAAGCCGTCATATTTGATGGCCTGTCGGTGAAGGTCTGTTTTCTTACATAACCTGCGCAGCGCAAGTTCGCGAGCTTCGTCAGATGCTCTTTCCCAGCTAACCTTACATGAGTAGTGTACGTGACCATAGATTCGTGAGAACCCACGTAGACCCTGTTCCAAGAAGGCACAGGACGCCAATGACAGGATTGGAGGACTCGACATTGGATGCAACAGCTCCCAGCGTTTTGGCAATCTTGTTCCATTGCCTCCCAACCCATAGCATGTTGTAAACTTTTTGATTGATGTTTTGCACATTTCTGACAGAGTGTTGGATCCGCTCAACAATAGGCTCAATGGGGCTCCCTTTTGGATGAAGCTGGGCCAGTGCGAAGCAATGAAGTCGTTTAATTAGCTGGTTCAAAGCAATGACCTGGTCAGACTGCTCCACTGCAAGGAAAATGCGAACGTAAACGTCGGTTTGAGAAGCCAGGTCTAGGAGCCGGTTTTCTACCCCCCTTCCGTCCAAAACTTGCTGTGTGTTTGGGCAAGGATATGTTTTCTCCAATTCATCAACCTTTTGCAAGTGGTACGGCTGGATTTCGTTGTCGCTTTGTTCGGAGCGTCTCTTTCGGGATTGAGGCAATATCGGTGAAAAAAGCTGAGGAGCTTTACTGAATAGTCTATTTAAAAGTTCTCTCTTCAGCTAGGTTAGCCTGGGCAAATCAGTACGAAGGGAAGTCAGACCTCTTGGTTTGTCAGGGCCGCGAAATCTTCCCGGCGAAGCTTATCGCACAGGCAGCTCATGGCGGAGGTTGGTGACAGGTTCAGAAGCATGCGAGGGGTGTCTCCCTATATATTCTTTACGGCGTAAAGAACTAGTCCCAAAATGTTTTGGAATGGTGGAATGACGTGTTGTGGGCACATGCCCCACCTTTCCAGCGACATGCAAAGGGCACGCTGACCCGCCCGCCCCTGTTCATGCATGAAAATGCTTCGAGAGCAAAAGTTCACAGGCGTCGTACGCCAGCCATGTGATCGACACTTTGATAGCTGCATCATTCAGACCACTAAGTTCTGGTATTTGGTACATTGATAACCTGTGCAAGCAGAGGAAAATTGCGGCCAGTTTCAGACGATACTTCTTTCAATATCAATTACATGACACCCTTCGTGTTGCTGATTGACAATTACACATTTGCCACTGCATTTCCGAGTCGCATATGCTCGACCAAATTCGACATCTGGCTATGCTGTAATATGCAGATGTAATCAGGATGCATGGGTTGTATTCTGAGCGACGTCGCGGCTTCCGTTGGTGATATTGATCTGGGATTGGTGGCCTTTTTGCCTTCAGCTTCCAAGCAGCAAGAAGCGCTTACTATACATTCATTTTTGAAAGGAATACACATGTATGACCGTTGACTGTAAGGAATGAATATATTGCCCACCGTCCATATAAGATCATCTGTTTCTCCCTGCTTGAACTCTCCTTTTCTTTCTCAACACGCAATCACACACATAAGATATCCGCTGACTAGGTAACCCCCCTAGCACGTCCCCTTCTGCTTCAAATCTGGCATAATAACTTACTGATATCAATTTCAAGTTGCTACAATTCCTAAACCAACTCGACTTTATTCAATCCACCGAATCGAAACCATGTCTACTGAGACTTGCGGTCAATGCAGTGGATCTGGCATGGGCAGTGGTGAAGGGGCTTGCTTTGGTTGTGGTGGTTCTGGAACGGTGCCCAAGAAGTGATCTGAATTCTCATGCCCAAGTTCTTCCCAGTATCAGTTAGTGTCCTAGCACGGCCGATGCAGTAGGGAACTGGTTAGGGAAAGGCCCGGATCCAGGGGCGGGACTTACACTTCGTCTTCGTCGCAAGCAAACAATGCTTACGACATTTCTCTGCAACTTTGGTAGCTTTTTACCAACCATTCTTATACACATCGTCGGCGAGACCTTCGTCTTGCAAATAAACTATGTCATTCGTTGTATTGTTCTGCCAACTACCTGTCGTGATATCTAGAAGAATGGGATGATCTTAGTATATGAGAATTGTTGTTACAGGCCATTTGAATGGCTCGAGTATCGTACAGGACCGAGAAACATCTGATCTTTACGGATTGCAGAGTCTCAAAACAAATTCGTACACGCCGAGAGTGATGACAGCAGAAGGAATTGAACGGGCAAGGTGAGGGGTCAAGCCTCCATACAACCCGCCGAGCCCCTCGAATTTCCAGACTAGTTGAAAACAATGCACAAGACCTTTGTATCGGGGCATTCCGTTCTCTAGCGGTGCTTGACGTAATCTGGTCCTTACAACCTACCGCCAAGTCAGCTTCAGCAGAGTTGAAGGGCAAGCTACATACCTCATGAGGATAAGTAAGAAATACAGCAGCGAGCTTCGCCGAGCCGGCGGCTCCGCTGGTGCTAATCCAGGTCTCGAGCTCTCCCGATGCCCAGCTTTTACCTCTCAGCCCGTATTGTATCATGACCTTAAGCCGCTCGTAAATAACAAGATGCATTGCTGTCTCGATAGTACCCAGGTAGCTGGCGCTCAGGCCTCGATAAAGCCCACGTATTCCTTCTGTTTGGACAACCTGGCGAACGCAGTCCATACTATTGCGGTATTGTCGTGTAGTAACACCACTCGATTGCGTTCTTGCTTTGTCGAGCTGCAGTCTCGTCTTCACCAGCCAAATGGGGTTGGTTAAAGTTGCTGTAGCAATTCCAGCTACGACCGCAGCTTGCGCGTGTACTATCGGATCGCTCTCGGCGCGATTTAACATCCACGCGCCTAGGTGTTTGCAATTGCCATACACGTAGAACTTGATGGCGGTAGCAGGAACGACACCGGCAAGGCTAGGACCTAAACCGCGAAAGAAGCCGCGCCAGCCCTCGCCATATCGTATTGAACGGATAATGTGAAACGTTTCGCGAATGTGATTGAAGGCCGGCCATACATGGTGGCTGACTGCAGGGCGTATCGAAGGGCCGAGGGTTTGTGAAGAACGGCTTGTAGTTTGGTAAAAGTCGGATTGAAGTCTTGTTCGAAGAACGTCAAGGGGTGACGTGATAACTGCGGTGACCAGACCTCCAGAACTAGAGGCAAGTCAAAATATGTTGCATGAGTGACACAACCCAGATGCTGCAGGGACAACTTACGCGCCAGCAAGAAGATGCGCCCAAGGCTTAATTATAGGGCTCTCGCGAATCTGGGATCGATTCAACACAACGGTTGAGCTTTGAGCTGGTGAAGCTTCTTCCATGGCCACTGACGATGCAAGCCAGGTGGAATTTCCAGTCCCCAATTTTGAAGTTCCATTTGAAACCGGCGACTGCTACATGGGCGCGAGGGAGCCCAGGCGGGTAACATGACTAATCACTGCAGAGAACATTTCCCATTGGTCCGTCCAAGACGCGCTCTGGAAGACGGCACGCACTTGAACGGCGAGATAACTATTAACAAAAAAGAACGCAAGCATTGTTTTCTTTCTATTCTTGGATGATGCCTTCTTTAAGGTTTTACGACAATACGCTCTGCAACCTTGCTGGTCTTTGAGTGCAATGCCTGCTGCTTTTTGCTTTTTCTGCGCTTCTCCAGACATCTTTCATGCCCCTCCTGTTACTCGCCTCCATAATGGCACCCGGCTCCATGACCGATCGGAGAGGGATGTCTATGGACTGCTCATCGATGCTTACCGCTTACGTGTGGAGGGCATGTATAACATAGAAGGCGAGGCGGACACGGACAGCATCTACGGCGGCGATGCTAATGGACTGCGTGGCTTCCAGCGTTTCCTGGAGCGCGTCGCGCTTTGTCCCGGTCTGCTACCATCATGGTGGAATGCCGCCAAGAAGAGGGACTGCGAAGGACTTGGTATGATTCCAGCACAATGGTACGACCTGGGAAGCGCTGTGGAAATGAGCGATATCATTGAGAACTACGGCGATCCCAAATTTCCGATGCAGCTTCGCATGTTCGCCGAGTGAGGGATGGGTTTGCTTGAAGGCTGGCCGACGTAGACGTTTGTGGCTACTGGTCGAAAGCAATTGGGTGAAATCTTCATACTCTTTGACGGGTTTCTTCTGACGAAGAGTTCTTTGGTCTCGCATGCTATTCATGATATGAATTGGAAAACTGGAGTTTTCTGCAATTGCCCATCGATCTATCTCTCGATCACTGACTGTCATGTGCTGGCAGTTTCCCCTGGAGCAATAACGCGGCAACGCCACCATGACAGTGACAGCTGGTAGTGTGTGTGTGTGCGTATTTTTCCGTCCAGCGACTTTGGTCGCTCAAGTGAGTCAAGTCCCCTGGCTGTTCTCGGGGCATGATGATAGAGGCGGGTCATCAATGCGTGAAGCAAGAGGGGGCGATGGAGACACTTGGCAATGGTCCCAAATACGTATCGACGGAGAAGTCGGTGGAAGAAGCACTGCGCAGGTGCGAAGTGCGTGCCTTGGGGGGGTGAGCCGAACCGAGTCACTTTCGGACCCAGCCCGTGCTGGTGTCAGCTGTGAACACCCCGACAAACACTGGCCTTATCCGCAGGGAATCTTGGTACGAAGGATAATTACGGATGTAAATTGATGTTTGTGGACAGCAGTGAAAGTATCCCCTTGGGCGGACAGGTTATATCTAACAAAATCATTGTGTAAACTTATGATGATTGAGCTCGCATATAAGATGTACATGAATGAACTCGTATGCAATAATATCCGGTTGGTGTTGAGACGAAGATGACAAGGCCAAATTTACACCCCAATAGCCCAAGGACGCGTTTTGAAGGAGTAGAGGGACAAAGGGTTGAGAGCATGCTTTTGCGCGGAAGCTAGACTATGAGCTGTACAACTAAAAAGGGGGCATTTGCTTCATGTGCATGACAGGCAATAGGTTGAGTTGTAGGGCTATGGGTATGAATGATGACTGTTTTTGTAATCGTAATAGGTGCGAAGATTCTAGACTGAGAGCCTGGTTGAGAATGCATCAGGCCTCTCCATACGTACGTTTTCTTCCGATCGTCCAAATGTTTCTTTGTGGACATATTTCTTGGGTACGATGTTTCGGAAATGGCTGAGTCTACTAGTTCTGACATTCTTTTCCTGTGTCTTGGGTGTTTGAAGGCTCACTTTCTGTGTTAACAATACCTGCTGGAGCTGGTGGATCGCGCGGCTTGCAGCGTTCTCGTTTCTACATTCGATCAGCCTCCGTTGTCGTATAAGGGTATTGAAATTCTGCTTACCGGTAACTCACAGCTTGGACAATTGCCACGCTCATGCTTGCTCTCAATTCTTCGAAGGCATTTGGGACAACGCCACCACTGCAAATGGTCGTCAACGTGGCCAGCAACCAAAGCACTCTTGCTCGAATCCCCTTTTTTGGGTATGGGTTCCTTGTGCGCTGCCCTCAAATGGCTTCGCAGCCTATCAAGTCGTTCAAAAGGACTTGACCGGCGCTCACAATCTTGGTAATCGCAGAGAAACTTCCCCTTACTTCGACGACGACGTTGACTCAGGTGCGCACGCAAATAATGTTGATTGAGTTCAATGTCTGTATCAAATGGCTCAGCATCGCAATTTGAATAAAGACAGACCATTGGAGACTCTCCACAATGTTGTAGTCTGTGTAAAATATTTGTTAGTCTAATCAACCATTCAGGAGGGTTGCTAAGCAAGCGACTTGCGGTGCACTCAGATGGCTCTCATGTCGACTTACCCGAAAATCATCGTCCATGGCCAGCTCCTCTGAGTTATGTGGCATACTCTCTACCAAAGCCTGAAGCAATTATTCAGTCTCAGACGAAGATGGACCTGTTTTTTTTTTTGTGAGTGGTGGTGTATGATAGTAGTGGATCAGCGAACGAGATGGTCTTGGGTCCATGGCCAAATGGGCATGACCGGTGGCGTACAACGCTTTGCGCAGGGGTGATGAGGGTTGGGTCTTGAAGTGCAGGACGGAAGTGCATTCACCTTTGACAAACCGAAAACGCCGCGAAACATGTACGTTTGCAGGACGTACATGCAGCATGCTACGAGGCAAAGGGTACAGTGAGTGACAAAAGTGACGATAATTAGCGCGTCATCGCGTCACACCACGTAACCTTGCATCTGCACATTTCATCTTCAAACATCAATAATTTCACCAAAATGGAGCCAACAAAACCAAGACTTGAATACAGCCCTCGTAAGAGGGCAAGAATTGTATCTGTATTTAATTCGGGCATGACCGGCCGAGAAATCGCTGAACAGGAAGGAGTTCCGCTTGCAACCGCGTACCGCGTTCGACAGCGCTATAAGGACCAAATATCGGCTAAGTCTTCGCCACGATGCGGCCACCCGCCAGCGCTTTGCGATCGCGATAAAAGGCGTATTTTCCAGTTTATCTGTAATGACTCTTTTATCAAGAATGAAGATATTTTACAACAAGCTAGCCTGGATTGCTCTATCAAGACGTTGACCCGGTTCCTTATTAAGGAGGGTATTCAGCACAAAAAGGCCCTGCAACGCCCAAAATTAACGCCAGAACTAGCTCTAGAGTTTGAAGTCGGTGTTGCAGGTGTTGTGACTCGGTGAATCGCGCATGTCCATGGACCGTTCGGCTGAAACACACAAGTGTCTAGATCCAGGATCACGCATGTCCTGATGCGGACTACAAGTGGCAACGCAACATCCTGTGTGACCATTTTGAACCGCCCAAGATCGACGGCATTTGGGGAGCTGTCTGACAGTGCGACTGCTGGAAGATTTTTCCACAGCAAAGATGATGACTGCGGCAGCTCGATAATGACATGCTGCCGCCTCTCTGTACAAGCGTCTCTGCACTCAAGCGTCGTTAAAGTGATTCAAAGTGATGTGTCGGCAGACGACACCAGACACTCGATAGAGACTTGGGGCGCACTGGGAGCTGGGAAAGGATCTTCAACAGTGCATCGCGCTGAGGCAAGACATAAACGGCCCGCGCGTGAATTGAGGTTGAAAACCTAGCAGCGCCGTCGGCACTGAGTACGACAATGCCTTCAGGCAACAGAGGAGGAGTTGCCACGTCCTCCTCAAAAAAGGATCCTCATGCCCTCGGAGTACCGTGACCAAAGTCAGTTCACTAAAACTTGCGTAGACGGAGTGCTTGTCTCAGGTCGGCCATTTCCACGCCGAGATTCTGATATGCATGGATGGTGGCCACTCCAGCTACCATGCCTGACTTCTAAATGTTGGCCCTTTCAACCTGGATATTCTTCACCTCTCGTCTAAGCTGTATTCACTCAGATCATGACCAAGAAAAATAAAGCACCGGATGACACGATCGGATGGCGGCGTCGTGGATGTAAATGAGAAGCTTTTACTCAACCCTCAGTATCGTGAGGGAACGTGCGGGTCAAGCGCTGGAAGCAAGGTGTACGCACGGGGACGTGGACCTTTGAGACAGCTAACAATATGTTCTTCCCATTCAGAGTCGTATTGGCAAGGATACATGTCTGTATGTATGTACCCGTTGCGAGATAGTCGGAGCCATTATCATGGCTCGCGACAGGCATTGCGCTCTATGGCTGAGCAAAGCGATGGTAGCCCCCCGCGTCCAAAACGGCGCTGCAGGCATCATGGCCACCAAACCCGTTGCGAAATTGCCGCCAGAGAAAGAGGCAACAGCCCCAATAACAGCGGCCGATTCCGTCGCGACAACCTGTCGCCATCTGCTTAGCGGCGAAACTCCATGCCAGATCACGTCTCTCTGCGAGGTGGTTGCGGCTTGTGTAGGCTGCCGATACGTCTAGGGACATGCAGATAGTAGCACTCGATGAAGTAGAGGCTGTGCGATGCTAACGGTCCCATGTGGGCTCTTGGCCACCGACTCATGGAGAAGACAGGTTGGTATTGGCACGGGCGAGCACTAGGGCCACCGACCCGGTGCCTCTAATTCCCACCGCCCCGGTGGGCAAAAGAGGGCCTTTCTGAAGCTGGCCAATAGCGCCGCGAGCCTCCAAATTGGACGTGAGGGGGAATACCTGGAAACTGCGCCGCGAGCCTCCAAATTGGACCTGAGGGGGACTACCTGGAAACCCTCCGAAGAATTAGGAATAACTAGTTGGTCACTCGTAATTGGAGCAATTTATATTCTGCCCCTTGATGCCTCAAATAGAGCTTCCTGCTCGCGGCCATCTTCCTATTCTGCCCCTTGATGCCTCAAACAGAGCTTCCTGCTCGCGGTCATCTTCAGCAATTATATCATAAATGTGACCAATACCGCGTCTTCCTCCTCGTGGATTATTGGCAAATTCGAGTGCAACGGCGGCTTCAACTCGTTCATCTTCCTTCTTTGACCAGTCGAGATATGCCGTTTTCTCCTCTTTAGTCCATTTACGTGGCCTCTTTTCGGATTTACAGAACTGACCCATTTGCTTCCAATTTTCACACCACTGATAGTCTGTCTTCGAATAAGTAGGTAGATTGGAGGCCTTTCGATACGCTCTGTCAGTCTTTCCCCGAGAGCCTGGTTGCCCTGAGTACCATTTCTGACGATTTTCAACATAAGCTTGATAAATAGCTTCTGGCGAGTCTCGCGGCTGATGCGAATCTCTTACTCCCGCCGTTGGTGTTGTTGCTTGTAATAGCTGCAATTCTAACAATGCCTCATCGGTCGGTGAGGAATCCCTTTCGGGCTCAGCATTTAAGGACTCAGCTTTAAGGTATTCATATCGTTGAGGACATAGTCTTGAGACCCTAGTATGTCCGATAACACCACATGCTGTACACTTTGACGGCTGCTTCCGGCGTGGTTCAGTGGCTTCGAAAGCATGACGGCTGCTTCCGGCGTGGTTCAATGGCTTCGAAAGCACATTTCTCCCGCTGTGTGCTTGATATAGGTACCCGGGAGCCCTCCTTTCGATATCTCTCAAGCCGTTGAGGTTCGATAAGGTGAATAGGTTGACCCTCTCTCTTATATCGCCAATGCGTATGAAACTCATCTAAGGCAAGAGGAAGCTTAGCATCAATAAGTGCTTTAACTCGATGAACACAAGGTAGCCCATATGATGCTGTAAATCTCCCTGTACAAGGTCGTGAGAGGGGCGAGATGCTGTAAATCTCCCTGTACAATGTCGTGAGAGGGGGGAGTTTTCAGCATCTATTAACTTTCGCTGTTCTTCAACCTTTCG